TTCTGTTTGTTTGTTTTTGTTGTTGGTTTTTCTATCTACTGGTAAATATTGATTACTGGAAGAAGAGTAGTGAAGATTTTACCAATAATTAGAGACTTTGTTTTTCTTTTCAGATTTAACAGATTCTGCCTCATGTAATTGGAAATTGTGGTATTGGGTGCATACACGTTTAGGATGGTTGTTTCTTCTTGGCCTTTTTATCGTTATGTAATGTCCATCTTTATCCCTGGTAACTTTCTATGCTCCAAAGTCTACTTGGTCTGGTGTGAATATGTCATTCCCATTATCTCTGACAGCTAACCAGATGACTTCTCTATCATTTCAATATTCTTTACTCTAATGAAATTAACCAGAAGATGCTATGATTCATGTGCATTGGGCCTTTGTTTTCTCATGCATAAATGATCCTATATAATAAAAAGCTAATATGCAAATAGACCAAACAGTGGTACGACGGTCGCTATGATGCACACTGACCACCAGGGGGGCAGATGCTCAATGCAGGAGCTGCTCCTTGGTGGTCAGTGTGCTCCCACAAGGAGAGGCTCACTTGGTCAGAAGCCGGGCTCACGGCTGGCGAGCGCAGTGTGGTGGCGGGAGCCTCTCCAGCCTCTGCCTTGGGGAGCAGGCCTAACTCATGCAGTCGGACATCCCCCAAGGGGTCCCGGACTGCCAGAGGGTGCAGGCTGGGCTGAGGGACCCCCCGCCCAACCACCAATGCATGAATGTTGTGCACTGGGCCTCTCGTGTTTTATAATCATCACCACTATTTCCAAAACATTTTTATCTCTCCAAACAGAAAGTATGTACCCATCAGGCAAGCAATGATTCCCATTTCTCCCTCCTACCACCCTGATAACCTCTAATCTATTTTATGTCTCTATGACTTTGCCTATTCTAGGTGTTTCGTGTGTGTGTGTGTGTGTGTGTGTGTGTTTTAGATGTTTCTAATAAGTAGAATCATACAGTATTTGTCCTTTTGTGTCTGGCTATTTCACTTAGCATAAAGATTTCAGTGTTTGTTTAAGCTGGGGCATGTGTCGGCACTCCATTCCTTTTTATGGCCGAATAATACTCCATTGTATTGATCTATGCTATTTGGTTTATTCATCTGTCGATGGAACCTTGGGTGGTTTCCATCTTTAGCTATTGTGAATAATGTTGCTATGAACATTGGTATTTACATATCTGCGTAAGTCTTTGTCTTGATATCTTTGGGGTATGTTTCTAGAATAGAATGCTGGGCCATATGGTATTTCTATGTTTTGCATTTTGAGGAACCACCAAGTTGTTTTCTATAGCAGCTGCACCATTCAAGTCTTCTTTTTTTTCCATTGATTTTTTTTTTTTTTAGAGAGAGTGGAAAGGAGGGGAGAGAGAAAAGAGAGAGAGAAACATTAATGTGAGAGAGACACATCAATTGGTTGCCTCCCGCATGTGCCCTGACCCAAGGCTGGGGATCCAGCCTGCAACCAAGGCACATGCCCTGGACTGGAACCAAGCCTGAGACCTTTCAGTCCAAGGACAGACGCTCTAACCACTGAGCAACCAGCTATGGCCAAGTCTTTTGCCCATTTAAAAAAATATATATTTTATTGATTTTTTACAGAGAGGAAGGGAGAGGGATAGAGAGTTAGAAACATCGATGAGAGAGAAACATCGATCAGCTGCCTCCTACACACCTCCTACTGGGGATGTTTCCGCAATCAAGGTACATGACCTTGACCGGAATCAAACCTGGCTCTCAAAGGAAATTTCAATCATTGTCCTGTTGATATTTGGCTCTGTTGACTAAAGAGTTTGCCGACCACTGGCCCAGCCCAATCATGTCAAACTCCAGCCAGCCGCAAGTTTGACATGCTTGCCCTAGCCAGTTGCTCAGTGGTTAGAGCATCAGCCTGAGGGCTGAGGGTTGCGTGTTTGATTCCAGTCCAGAACATGTACCTCGGTTGCAGGCTCCATCCCCAACCCGGCCACGTGTGGGAGGCAGCCAATCAGTGTGTCTCACATTAATGTTTGTCTCTCTGTCTCTCCCCCTCCCTTCCACTCTCTCTAAAAATCAATGGAAAAAATATCCTCGAGTGAGGATTAACAAAACCAAACCAAACCAGAATATTGATCTGTAATTTTCTTTTGATATTGATATAATGGGAAATGCTGGCATCATAGAATGATTCAGGAAACGTCCTCTCCTATTCAGCTTTTTGGAAGCGTTTGAAAAGGATGGGTATTGCTTTTTAAATGTTTGATGGAATTCACCCGTGAAGCCTGGCCCTGGGCTCTTTGCTCAGTGGTTAGAGCATCAGCCTGAGGGCTGAGGGTTGCGTGTTTGATTCCAGTCCAGAACATGTACCTCGGTTGCAGGCTCCATCCCCAACCCGGCCACGTGTGGGAGGCAGCCAATCAGTGTGTCTCACATTAATGTTTGTCTCTCTGTCTCTCCCCCTCCCACTCTCTCTAAAAATCAATGGAAAAAATATCCTCGAGTGAGGATTAACAAAACCAAACCAAACCAGAATATTGATCTGTAATTTTCTTTTGATATTGATATAATGGGAAATGCTGGCATCATAGAATGATTCAGGAAACGTCCTCTCCTATTCAGCTTTTTGGAAGCGTTTGAAAAGGATGGGTATTGCTTTTTAAATGTTTGATGGAATTCACCCGTGAAGCCTGGCCCTGGGCTCTGTGTGTGTGTGTGTGTGTGTGTTTGATTAGTTATCGCTTTACTTGTTTACTTGTTATAGGTCTTTTGAGATTTTCTATTTCTTCTTGTGTCAGTTTAGGTAGTTTGTGTGTTTCTAGGGACTTTTCCATTTCATCTAGGTTATCTTTTTTAAAAACTTGATTTTAGAGGAGGGTGGAGAAGAACACTGATTTGTTGTTCCGCTTATTTCTGCATTCGTTGGTTGATTCTTGTATGTGCCCTGACCGATGATGGAACCCACAACCGTGGTGTGCTGGGTTGAGGCTCTAACCAGCTGAGCTACCCGGCCACCATACTACAGTGGGGCCTTGACTTACGAGTTTAGTTCCTTCCGTGACGGAGCTCGTAACTCAAATTACTCGTATGTCAAATCAACAGTGAACGAGTGAGACACGTGATGCTGGGTTGATGTGGCGTTCACTGTGACGTTCGCTGCGCCAACTAGCAGTGGGGTATCTGAAGCTGGCTCATAACCCGAATTTTAGCTCGCAACTCAAAGCCAAAAATCGGCTGAGAGACGGCTCGTATCTTGAAAAACTCGTTAGTCGGGACACTCGTAAGTCAAGGCCCCACTGTATTCTCTTCTAATCCTTTTTATTTCTGTAAGTTTGGTAGTAATGTCCCCATTTTATTTCTGATTTTAATTGTTTGTGTTCAGACTGACTTTGGAACCTGCCTACAACCTCTACCCTAATCCACGGCACCATCCCCGACTTGACCTCTAATCTCGGACCCTTGGCCCTCCTACCCTAACTCCTAATTGCATTTCGGAATAACCTCCGACATGACGGATTCTGACTTCTATCCGCCTGCTGCCTTGGACTTTGAACCTATTGCCTGACATCTAACCTTGATCCTCCGCCCTTGACTGGGCAGCGACCTCTGGTGACCCTTGACCTCTGGTTCCCACAGCTACACCTTCGGCAAAGTACAGGGCAACAGCGACCTCTATTGGAAGGCGCAGCGCTACAGCCTCATCCGGGAATTTCACTCTCGGCCGGCGCTGGCCCCCCCCTTCATCATCATCTCGCACGTGCGCCTCCTCTTCCGTCGATTGCGCAGGCACCGGGCCAGCATGCCGGCCTCCCCCAACCAACGGCATTTTCGTGAGAAGCGGGTCTTGGTCCAACACAGAGAAACCCCAGGGGCGGGGCCCTGAGAGAAAGAACGCGGATAAGCGGGGGAGGATGGCGGAGGCGCCAGTGGGCGTGGCTCAGGCCGTGGGGGGCGTGGTCTGAGAGCTCAGGCAGGGTTTTGGGTGGGGATTGCGGGACGGGACGGGTTCCGGCCCCAGGAGGGGCGGGCCCTTGACTCTGCCCTGACCTGCCCTCCAGGGGTCCACCTCCCTAAGGAAGCCGACAGGAAGCTGTTGACGTGGGAATCGGTGCAGAAGGAGAATTTCCTATTGGCGCGGGCGAGGGACAAGCGGGAAAGTGACTCGGAGCGGCTGAAGCGCACGTCGCAGAAGTGAGGGCGGGGCCTGGCCGGGGGCGGGGCTTCTGGCCTCTGGGGCGTGTCCCGTGACGGAGATTGGTTGGGAGGACGGGCTGGGTTTGCAGAGCAC